AATGTAATATTTGCAAGCGTTTTAATTAAAAACACTATATCTGCCTATTTCTCCATATACAACTTTTAGATTTCATCCTCGTTTCGATGAGATGGGTGGGTCACATATGTATTTTTTTCACCTGTTCTCCAGAGTTTTAAAACGAGTTGTAAAAATAGGGCTGCACACCTTGCGAGCTTTCTTCTTCTCACTGATGCTCTCAGCCTCTTCRTGCTCCTTGGCCCCCTGCATCAGGTTGGTGTAGTTCGCCAGGCGGTTGAGAAAAGACGACACCTTTGGCCGAGTGTCCATCTCCTCCTGTTGGTTAAAAAAGGAACAGAGTGAGCGGAGGACRGGGAAAGATGGAGGAGACATAATGAATGAGGGAACAGACCAAGAGAACAGAAAAGACAATGAGTTGAGGATAAGCAGGTGTCAAAGGGAGGAAAAAGGCGACAGAAAATGTGAAAAGCAACAAATTGGGCAGCTTGAGAAAAAGACAGAGCTATTTCTAGAGAACTTAGAAATCTATACAAGCTGAAATCAGATGCACCCACAAGCCAATAGCAGGGTATTTTTTAGCTCAAGTTAGCAGGCAATCAAACAACAGCACAAATTAATAAGAAACAAGAGGAAGTACAGGACGGACATGTTGGGAACACTGAGTTCTGCACCTCAAATAAGGCCAGGTTTCTGTCGTAAAAGTCATCGTCATCCCCATGAGTGTTGTTGATGTACACATTGGAGATTTTTGAGTTCTCCTCACCTGCATTGAGGACAAAAGAAGAGAAAACGGGGGTGACTGCTGAAGCTCAAAATGATCAATCAACTTAATAGGACTGAACAAAGAAGMGATCGTCTCTGTCATCCTGAGACGCAGAGCTTTTTTTTTCTTTTTTTGCTCCTGAGACAGCAGCCACCATGTCACCAGTTCTGCTCCGGCTCGGTCAGCACACATCACTGCATCAGCAGCACCTGACTCAGCAACTTCACTTCTCTCTTTGCTTCKGCACGCCAACGACAGAAAATGTCCCTATGCAGCAAAATACTTCAAATAAGAACACTCAGCCAATGGCTCAAGGCTAATATAAAAATATCTGTGCCAAAGAAAATTGAGGAAGAAGAACAGATGAGGCATGATTCTGTAGTTCAGTCTACTGGTACACCACCAGCACTTTCCATGAAGTGGTTTTTTTTTCTGGCATGAGGAGCCAAACTATGTAAGGAATGAGGCAACATGGCGCGTCTGAAGTCAACCGGACTTTTACATCTCAGGGATGAGCAGGGATTTTTGGATACTCAAAGGCTTTAACACAAATTAGAAGCATTAAAGTGACTATCATTTTGACATTTTTTTCCCACCAGTTTAGCACCATGCTGCTAACTAGGGCTGTGTATTGGCAAGAATTTGGCGATACGATACATATCATGACAGAGGGGTCATGATATGATATATCCCAATAAATTGCGATACTGTAAGCAAGGCGATATATTGCAATTTTTTTGTCCAAAAATTCTATTAAATAAAAACCTCTTACTGGGGGGAAAAAATGAAAAACCAAAATTCATTGTCTCATAAATTTCTAACATTACAGAGACATGCTTTTCATACATTTAGCTGTGTTCTGCTTTGTATGTATTTTGTTTTATTTTTCATATTTCTTATTTCATCTATGTTTTCAATTATTAGACTAAATTTGACAATAAATAGTTTGAAAATATA